GAGAGCTCTTCTTAGCTGTCTCATTTCTTAGTTCTCAGGTAAACTTCCGGCAGGTCTGTGGTTTAGCTTACTGCTCTCATGGAGCTGCCAGCCTCCTCTTAATTGCTTACCACCACAATCTCCATGATTTTCCAGAGTAATCAACCCTCAGGCTTAAACTTCCCACCATTGTGGTTAAAATAAAGTCAGTTCACTTGGGGAAATACCTGAACTCTGTTTTTACTTGCTATTTCTCCCCTTTGGCAAAACCTCTGGCCCACTGTTCCAGAGATGAGGGCAAGATAGCGAGTGACCTATTTTTCTTGGAGTGACACCTGATGAATGAGCAGCACAGTACTGGGTTGGGTCATCATCCTCTGATTTTTCTCAGCTTGCCTTTCCTACTGTGGAACTTCTTCACGAGCAATGAATTGGGGTGAGGGCGGTTGGGGCTTTACAGTTCTCAGCTTCTGTGCCTATGTATTGGGGCTGGTGGAGGAAGGCAGCCTCAGAGTTTTCAGGTGCTCTTACCTAGAGTTGAGCCTCTGCAGGGACTTGAGAGGGAGGGAAGGTGAGAAATGCTGGTAGACCTGCCCTTCCAGGTGAGATACCACAATCCTTGACTGGGAGCTGAGGGAGAGAGGGTGCCATGTGTCCTTGGCTGCACCCAAGTGAAGTGGATCTTCTTTGATTCTGAGCTTCAGGATGAAGAGAGGCAGTTGGGACAAAGGAGTGAATGTGGGTTGTGGCTCAGCCATAGTTTCTCACTATTCTTGCTGAGATGTAGTATATTTTCTTGAATAAGTGTTTCTTCATTTGATATATGTCCTGGACATTTTCCAGAGACTTTAAATGGTGGTTTTTGTTTATTATAATTTTTACCAGTTATGGCTATTTCACTGGAGAAAAGGTTGTGGAACTCCTCATGTCCTCATTCCAAAAGTTATCTCAATTTCATTTATTTTTAACAAAAATATTGCTCCTGAATTACGGTATATACCAGTGATGGCGAACCTATGACACATGTGTCAGAGGTGACACACGAACTCATTTTTTTGGTTGATTTTTTTTTGTTAAATGGCATTTAAATATATAAAATAAATATCAAAAATATAAATCTTTGTTTTACTATGGTTTCAAATATCAAAAAATTTCTATATGTGACACGGCACCAGAGTTAAGTTAGGGTTTTTCAAAATGCTGACACGCCGAGCTCAAAAGGTTTGCCATCACTGGTATATACCATCCCAAAACAGTGCAGCTTTACAAATCTCTAAAGGTAGTTCCAATTTATATTATGAGAAAAAGGTTTATGAAACAAAAATGCTGGGACTCTTGCAGTACATAAGCCTTACAAGTTTATCCCATGCCTTTCTAGGTTTGAGTAAGAGAAATTTCACTTGGACCAGGTGCATTTGGAGAGTATTTTGGTGATTTTTCAGTCTGATCTAAGACAGGTTTAGAATATTTTTATGAATTTCTTAATTTAATATTTTATAGTCATCCAGTACCTTCTATTAAAATTGTACTTATTAGGAAGAGTGAGTTCAGTGACTAGGCATTGCTCCCACCCTGAGGGCCACAGTGTATAGTTGTGTCCTGTGCAAGTGCACCAGGCTGAGGGGTTAGTGGGGGCTGAAATCTGGCCTGTGCTCTGTCATTGTGTGCAGGACTGTGTTAATCCAGAGGAAGGGGTGCCTTAGTTCTAGTTCACACAAAAGTATTCTGTGGGCTTGCAGATTTTTAGTGTCTGGGGTTGGGGGAATAAGACCTGAACACGTGACTATAATTTAAGACTGTGCATCTGAAAGATATCAAATGAAGTCAGAATGTTTATTTCTCATAGGGACAATAGAAAAAGAGTTAGAGGAGGAGGTGGCATTTGACAGGCCTTAAAAGGGTATGTAGTATTTTGTCAAAAGGAAATGAGTGCAGGGGACATCGCAGGTGAGAATTAGCAGAGGCATAAACATAGCAAAGTTCATGCATCTTGGTAACAAAGCACTGTTCTGTTTTGCTTTGTTTTTAACATTGGTGAATATGGGAGAATACAGAGAAATGCGGCTGGAGAAATAGATAAGGCCATATTATTAATAGTCTTTCTTTGTTAATCTCAGGAGTTTATTTCACAGTGTTAGGTAGCTATGAAACTAACAAATTTTTTTTTATTAATGTCAGAGGAATAAATAACTTGTTGAGAGCTGTGTTTTAGGGGAATTCATCTGGCCACAGGATTCAAAATAAAACTATATAAGGTATTTCAATTAAAAGAATTTAGTATAAAGCCACACTAAAGAGAAACAGTTTGGTATACACAGTATAAAGAGTCAGTTAAATCAATGTGGGAGAGCTGAAAAAGCAAAAGGAGACCACTTAGGCAAGCAGCGGTTCTCAACCTGTGGGTTGCGAACAATGAAAATACATCCTGCATATCAGATATTTACATTACGATTCATAACAGTAACAAAATTACAGTTATGAAGTAGCAACGGAAATAATTTTATGGTTGGGGGTCACCACAACATGAGGAACTGTATTAAAGGGTCGCGGCATTAGGAAGGTTGAGAACCACTGATAGAGGCAGGAGAAACAAAGGGAGGAGGTTTGCTCATTAGAACCAAAAAGCTCAGAGAAGAGGCTCCACGGAGCTGGAATTAAAAACTCTAAGGAAGTGGATACTACCCAGCTGCTGCTCTTTCCTTAGGACTCAAAGCAGGCAGTGTCATGGAGCTGGACTGAGACCTCTGAGGAAGGTCTGATACTTAACACGTTAAGCGCCCAGCCTGTTTTGTCTTCTGGACAGAAAGTATAGTGTCAGTCACCGGTGACTGACAGGGCGCTTATTGTGTTAATGGAAGAAGCTAGGAACTGCTGCTGCCAAGGTAAAGGGCTGTAGTTGGGATGCTTTTGACAGGAGTAGTACGCAAACAGGAAGGAGAAAGTCCATTCTGTACTTCTTGTCTCTCATCTTCCCACCCTCTATCACTCTGTCTCCTACTTGTGAATCTTGAAAGGAAGCCAGAAACCACGGGAGAATTGTTTACAGTTCCCACCTCAGTCACACAGCAGAGGAGAGAAGGGTAGATTTGGAGCTCAGAAAATAGAGATTCATAGCTAGCAAATTTGAGGCAAAACAAAAGCCTTTGAAATGGGTCCCTATACGTACAAGAATTTAGTATATGATAAAAGAAGCATTTCAAACCTGGAAGAAAGAATAAATTAGTTAATAAATTGATCTGCGACAAATTATTTTGGAGGGTAGGGGGATGTATGTACACCTCATTTAAATAAGGCATGTGGCTCGCTGGCTGTGAGTTTGATATGTTTGATGTACACAAAAGTAATTTGAAGATGGATTAAGGAGTTTACTGTAAAGAATTAAACTGAAAATAACTAGAAGCACATAAAGGTGAACATTTATTAATTGCACTAATGGAGAAGATTTTAAAGCATGAAAGAAAAGATAAAACTCAACAAGGAAAAGGATATATTTAATATTCAACAATTATATTTATAAAAAAATCCAAAAACTTAGAGGAGAGGTTAATATTCTTAATATACAAAGGACTCTTCTAATTAATAAAGGAAGATACAACAATCTCAGTGGAAAAAGGGCAAAAATAAGGAATGTGACCATATACAGAAAATATACAAATGGCCAATAAAATAATTGTCAACCTTTTTTTTAAAAAATAGGTTTTTATTGATTTCAGAGAGAGAAAGGGAGAGAGAGATAGAAACATCAATGATGAGAGAGAATCATCGATTGGCTGCCTCCTTCCCCCACACACACACACTGCGTATTGTGCTGGCAATCCAGGAATGTGCCATGACCACAAATTGAATCTTCACCTCCAAGTTTATAGGTCAATGCTCAACCACTGAGCCACACCCGCTGGGCAATAATTGTCAACTCTGATGAGGATTTGGGGAAGACAAATATACTCATCATCTAGAAATGTAAACTGGTATAGTTTTTCTAGAGGATGTGTATCAGTATATATCAAAAACCTTGAAAATAATTGTTTACATTGAAAAGATACATTTTCTGAGACAGTAGGTAAGAAAGCAAGGATAGTTATAGATGGAGATGAGTTAATAAGAGCTTGTGTCTGACAGTTTTGCAATCAAAGAAAAGCAGAACGATGCTGTGGGTACTGTAGGAAATCAGCTAGCTTTGTGTAATAGCAGTCAGCAGCATTATCTTGCTTGCAGTTAGCTAGCATCTTCTATAATCTATAATAATAAAAGCATAATATGAAAATTAGACTGGACATTTTTCTGGACGAAGCAAAAGCTGCAAGGGAAGCCCGGGTCCCGCCCAGGTCCTGGGTGCCAGAGGGAAGCCTGGGTCCTGGGTGCTAGAGGGAAGGAAGGCCTACTCTTGCATGATTTTGTGCATTGGGCCTTTAGTAAATATATAAGCAGACTGGTTTTTATGACTTGCTCCAGTAACACTAAATAGATCAGAAGTTAGAGTGGAGAAAATTACTTAAATGAATACAGAGGGAAACCTGTGAAAGATTGGGATTAGGGAGCTGTTATCTCGTTGTAGAGCATAGCCTTGCTGATGGCTGCAGAGCAAGGAGCCCGAGAAACCACACAATTAGTATGCTTGACTGGAACTGATAGGTGTGCTATTTTTCTGGTGCTGTCTGCAGTGGGGATTACCACGAGAAGTATCGGCTCTCAGAATGACTTGAATTCATTCCAGGTCTTAGCTGTCATGAATTGTGGCTTCTGACATTGGGGATACATGTTTGCTCAGGTCTTGGTTTACACTGTATCAACAGAATAACCCTCAATTGTAATAATCCCATTTTTAACCTTTTTATAAAGTCAGATATATATTGAATATAAGTCAGAATTACTTTCATCAGGTACTTGATGGAGGGGAGTAATTTTTTTTCTACTTTCTATTCCAGACTGATTTTAAATTCCTGATAATTGCTCTGTCTCAGGAATTTTTTTATTGTAGACCAGTAGGGCAGATACAAATATGTTTATAATTCTCTTTATAGGAGAGCCCCCATTCTTACCAGAATCCTTTGACCGAATTCTTCTTGATGCACCCTGCAGTGGCCTGGGGCAGAGACCAAACATGGCTTGTTCTTGGACTTTGAAGGAAGTGACATCATATCAACCATTACAGCGAAAACTCTTTACTGTGGTATGTGATGATACTTTGCTGTGAAAGAAAGTTGGCCTTCACTGGTTTGATGTTTAAACGATTGAAAGCGGTGTTCATAGCAGCATTATTCACAATAACCAAATGTGGAAACCACTGAAGTGTCCATCAACAGGTAAATAAGCAAAATGTGGTATACATACAGTGCAATATTATTCAGCCTTACAAAGGAATGAAGTCCTGATACATGCTGCCACATGGATGGACTTTGAAAACATTACGCCAGACATAAAAGACAAATATTATATGATTCCATTTATATAAGGTAACTTAGAATAGGCAAATTCATAGAGACTAGTGGTCACCAGGGGCTGGAGATATGAAGGAATAAGGAGTCATTGTTTAATGGGTACAGAGTTTAAGTTTAAGATGATGAAAAAAATCTGAATTTAGATAATGGTGATGATTGCCCAGCAGTGTGAATGTACTTAATGCCACTGAATTGTATACTTAAGCGTGATTATTAATATGTTAAATTTGTTATGTATATTTTACCACACACAAAAGGACAGAGAAGGGCTAGTTTTAAGTACAGGGAGCTTTCCTTTATGTTGACTTCACTATTTCTGCCAGGTAATAGAATTTCTTCACTCAGATGCAATGAGTTTCCAACATTCTGCTTTATCTTTAAAATGTTCCAGGATTACTTACTACTTGATGTGAATAATTATATATAAAACCAGTTACTCTTTTTAATAGGTTTCCTGGATCATCTTAGATAGCAAATTTTTTTAAAAAGTGGGAAGTCCATTTATGTAACTGTCTAATACAATATTGTTATGTCAACTGTAATTGAAAAATTAAAAAAAAATTGTAAAAGTGAGAAGTCCAAAAGAAATAAAAATGGGAAGTGACAGTGTCCAGTGTAGGAGATAGGAGAACCATAAAAACTTTGCAAATTTAACTGGTCACCAGTACGTTTCAGAAGAAGTCCAGATAGAATATTTGAGAATTTCTCTCAGTCTTGCAAAAATGATACAATAGATTTCACAAAATATAGATAGCATTTGATCAAGGATTACTTCATTATTTTTACTCAGGCCTTAATTATAAACACATAGGTTCCCAAAGGTGTGGACGGAGTCGGCAAAGAAGGAATGACTCGGAGGCAGCGTTCAGTTGATCAGCATGGTTGGGTTCTCTCGCCTGGTTCTAGCCAGGATCTCCAGCCAGGTCCTGTGTCTTATTGTCTTGTTATATCTGTATTTATACCAGTTGATTTTAATCCTATCAATTTCTATTCCAAAGGTTAGGGCATTTCTTATCTCCATTCCAGGGAGTAAAGATTATGTAGCTTAAGCGTGATTGTTCTTAGTTAAAGTGATTAACTACCCGCCTGGCACTTGGTTAAGGGGTTTTATTCCCTCCCTAACATCAGGGAAAAATCCCTACCTGGGGAAACAACCTTTCTCGGAGAGGTGACCTTGGTTAAAACACATAGCGCCAAGAAGGGGAGCAAACATATTAAGAGCAGTATGCCATATATGCCAGGTCCCTTGAAACATATGCTGTGCAGATGTTTTTTCCCTGCAGCGACTGTGTCAAGCAGCAAGGATAGACCGGCTTCTGGAAAATTCCCTTTTTTATTTTTTAAATGATAGAGCATGTAAATCAGCGGCCACCTCTCGGATTGGGTTAAGACTCGGAAGAAGACTGGCAAGCAATGATAGCGAGCATAGCTATAAACATAGTGGATGGAGTGCACA